TTAATATGTTGATTATTAGATTATTTTTGGTTTCAGATCCTTCTCATAATTCTGGAATGTTTGCTAAAGTTACATTTAGGCTTTTAAATGTAGGTTATAAGTGAAATCAGTCAAAAAATGTGTGAATTGTTCTCTGCTTGTCCAATTTTAACTTTAAGTATGGAGTAGCCTTGTAAGATTATGAGGCTTCCTTCCTTCATGAAACAGCTTAAATACAAAAGGAACTACCTTTACCATAAAGATTTGATAAGTTGTACTGTGGGCCAATAGTCTAAGTTTCTGTTGAAGGGACATTTGCCTGATATTTCAGTTTGAAATAGTTGATACCTAGTCATCAGATTAGGTTCTCTGTTTTGAGTGAAACATCCATTTGATCAAAGTTTCCAAGTTCCTTGTTAATAAATGGTTTAAAATATTCACCTATGACTTTTAAAGTCTCTACTGTATCTGTAATGGGGTTTTTTTTTTTGAGAATTAAATCATTTTTTGATCACACATGATAATGGATGATACACAAGCTTCATTCCCATCTATAATTTTATCTGATACTTTTATTCAATTTAGATATATTGCATAGGATGTGCCAAAATCATTTTTATAACCAGTAATTCTATGATTTTGCTTGGGTAATTTTTAGTGGCGAACTTCAGGTCACAGCAATAACTCTCAGTTCAACTACACCAAGGTTTCTGAAGAGAATGGCTTCTTCACCCAAGCAGATTGTATATAAACTCCAAATAGAACCTGGCATCACCCTGAAGGAATTCTAACTTTACACTGTTGGGGGAGATTTACCAAGATGGCTTCAGAGTAGACTAACTTTACACAACACATTTAAAGAATAAGACATTTATTCAGCATTATGATCAGACTATTACATTCAGCAATCAATAGCATGAGTACCAAAAAAAAATGTACATTAAAACTCTTTGTTGGAATGCTTTACACCTAGAACAGAAACTAAAACAACCTGTTATATAGTTAGTCACAAATACGGTCCTTGAGTTTTTTTGCCCATACACATGAGTATTTGTCTAAAACATGTCTTCTTTGTAGCACTAAGCCCTGCTGCCACTGTGCTTGGCTGAGTTCACAAATCTCTTGTAACCTGTAGCTTCTCTGTCACTTCTCTGGCTCTCCTCTTCTGCTAAGCTTTGTTTCCTAATTAAAATCTTCTGCCACTGCCATAGCTACTGCTGCTACTGGGACCGACTGCTCTAACTACCTTGGTTTCACGGCTTGGCAAAGTATTGGCCTCCACCACCTCAGGGGCCAGAGCTTCTGCCTCCGTTTCCTCCCTTCATGGGTCCAGAATTTGAAGACTGATTATTGTAATTGCCAAAATCACTGTAGCTTCTACTACCTCCAGAATTGCTTCCATCATTACCAAATCCATTATAGCCATCCCCACAGCCAGCATATCCACTACCACGGCTGCCACCAAAGCCACCGTGACCACTAACATTTCCTTCATGACCAAAGTTGTCATTCCCACCGAAGTCACCTCCACGACCACGACCAAAGTTTCCAGAACCACGGAGTCATAGTCGTCAAAGGTTATAAAGGCAAAGCCCCTTGTCTTGCCACTGCCTCCATCTGTCAAGATTTCAATAGCTTCAGTTTTTCCATACTGTTCAAAATAATCTCTTAGGTGTTGTTCTTCAGTGTCTTCTTTAATGCCTCCAACAAATATCTTTTTCATAGTTAAGTGGGTACCTGATCTTTGAGAATCTTCTCTTGAGACAGCTCTTTGGTTCCATAACTCTTCCATTCACCTTGTGAGGCCTTGAATCCATGGCTGATCCACCTCCTCCACAGCAGCATAGCGACAAACCCAAAGCCCCTGGAGCACTTGGTGTTTGGATCTCTGGTGACCACACAGTCCGGGAGCGTTCCCCATTGCTCAAAATGGCTCCTCAGGCTCTCATCAGTTGTTTGAAAGCTCAGCTCTCCAATGAAGCTCTTCCTCAGCTATTTGGGTTCTTTAGGAGACTCTGACTTAGACATGAGGGCAGGCAGATGAGAGACTTTAACGATGCTTTTTCTGTGGCATCCATGGGCAGAAAGGAGCAAGCTGACGAATGTATCTTGTATCTGTAGTTTTGATGCCCTTTTCAATTCTTAAAAAAAAAAAAAAAAGAATTATAAAGAAGATCAACAAAAGAACACATCAATGCAGTCAGCTCTCTGTATATGGAGGTTTCACATCTGTGGATTCTGCCAATTGTAGATAAAAAATATTTGGGGGAAAACAATTTAAAAATACAACAATAAAAAATAGTAAAAATTTTAAAATATAACGTTTACATTGTATTAGGTATTATGAGTAATCTAGAGATAATTTACAGAGGATGCAAGAGGATGTGCATAGGTCATATGCAAGTACTACACCATTTTATTTAAGGGACTGAGGATTTTGGTAGCTTTGGGGACCCTGGAACCAATCCCTTTCAGATAATGAAGTACAACTATATGCGGTTATCTGATAAAACTAGTAAAATAGTCATCCTTCTGTTAAGAAAAGAAAGAAGAAAACACAAATATTGTGTGTAATTGAAGGTCCCTTCGGATTCTAAAATTCCATGATTCTATGATTGTGGGTTATCAAGTTCCTACCAGGAGGCTTTGCCTGTCCAGCTTCAGCTTCTTTGCCATTCCCCATGGTTGCTAAACCATAGGACAATCCAGGGATGGAGGCAAGGCTCTGCGTCTCCCTCACCTGGTGTGTGTCCATTAGCTCATGCAGTTAGAGGAGAAAGCACCGCTGAATGCACTGATGTAATGTAGTCATTGCACACACCCGGCATCTCTGTCATGCGCTCCTCAAGCCACTAAAACGTCTACGATGTAACAGGGACTGTGCAGAATAAAGAGATTCAGAGGAGGAAACAGAGATGCACACCGCACCCTCAAAAATGGCAGCCTCTCAGGAAGACAGCCATGATGTAAGTAATGACGCAGACGGTGAGGATGGAAAGTTGTGCAAGAGAAGGATAGGGTGCAGTAACGGGATTGACAGTCTATGAGGATCCCAAGTGAACAGCGTGGCTGAGGGCCAGAAGTGGGGTAGGGACGGTGGGAAGTGGTATGTGGAGGAAGCTGCTTAGTGTGTTTAAGAAACCCAGTAAGTTGGGCTGGCCTGAGCCTAGAGAACACGGGAAAGAGGAAAAAGCTTTTAGGAATTGGAGGCTTTCTCCTGGGACATTGGGGAGCCACTAGATGGTTTTACCACTACTGCTAGTTAAGCACTTGATAGAAACTCTACATCTCAGTAACCATGATCTGTAGTTAGCCTCTTACTCCCCAAACAAAATTATATTTCTCTGTTCAAAAAAGCAAAGGCCAGTAGATATCCCATGTCTGATACCTACCTATTAGTGGATTAAATCCTTTCTTTTTAGTTACATCATTAAACTTATTATATTTGTTAGCTTGAAATAGACTCGTACTACAATAAGTTGTCTGGGTTTTTCTTTCAAACTGAATGGATTTTAAACTGTCTTTACCATAATGTGTATTTTAATAACGTCTTGGGGGATGTGTTCTGGCTGACGGCATTACTGTCATATGGACTGTCGTCCATAAATTGCTGACACATGTTTTATTGGGGCACCTTCTCCCATTTCTCTGTCATCATGCCTTGCATCAGAACTCAATAAGTATGTTAACTCGGCTTGCATTAATTGAAGTGGAGATTTCTTGCTAATTCTTGGCAATCTCAGTCTCTTCTCTCCCTAAAATTCCCTTTTCCATAAAGGACAAAAGGGTATTGTCAAAAGGAAAAGCAACCTGTGTAACCACCAAACTGCCATCATCTATTGTTACGTTAACCCCTGGGTCATTTATCACAGAATCGTGACTTTAGGACAGAAAACAGAATGCTTCTCAGGAGCCATCATATTTTGTCAATAGTACCTAGATGGTAACTTTATTGTGTTTGTATGAAATGTGTGTTCCAAACTGATGCATTTGTTTTGAAAACTTTATTGATATTTCAAGTTGAATAATCATTCATGTTTGAGCATTTAGTTCTTCAGAGATTTTGCTATTTAAAAGTTTTATACTTTCTCTGATCAATGATTCACCAAAGAGTTTATAGTGATGTCAGGCTTGGCTTACATCAGTTTGTAAATTTGCCCTTTTAAAAAAAAGGTTTGGCTTTGTGAATTCCCTTAGGATTTCACAGTTATGTAATGAAACTTTTTTTTATTGCAGCAGTAACTTTTAGACCAAAACATACATACATACACACATATATCTATGTATAATTGTGATGTATGTATGTGAGAATTATATATGTAGTTATGATATGTATGTATGTATGTGTGTTTGTGTGTGAAAGCAATGAACATGGTAAATTCTAAACATATCTAATTTTAAATGTCTGTCTTATATAATGGTGAACTGCTGAGCTAATAAGCTGGAAAAAATGGAATAAAGTGGGGGAAATGGCTACATTTATGTTTATCACATCCTTAAAGGCATAATTTGAAAAGTGATTCTCCAAGTGACTACTTATCAACCCAATCCTTTATTTTAATAATTAGAAATACTAACAAATAATGACGTTACTAATTGAAATATCAATTTTGATAAGCTCTTATATCTCTACTAAAATGGCTTTCTGAAACTATCACAAGAAGTTAATGAATTGCATCTTAATTAAATTTGAACTTTTCTCCTCTAATATTCAAATAGGAAAAACTGAAATATGATACATTCAAATTGCTTTGTACCAAGTTGAACATTAATGGCAATATAAATATAATATATGGTAACGTTACACATGAATGTGATAAGAATCTGCAATATTCATAATGGAATTTGCTAATTTTGAATATTGATTTCTCTTTTAAGTTCATTTTGTTCTGCAAATTTAAATGCTGAAATAATGTTTTACCAGCATTCCCTAATTAGCCAAGTGAAACTTTTAATGAAAAATTTTAATATTCTCGTTCAACTAACAAGTTTGTATATCTTTTCTCCTCTTGTTTTATTAGCCTCTTAGCAAATTTCCTGCTCTGATAAATGATATTTCATTCTGGTTGCCCTCTGAGACTTACGCAGAGAATGATTTCTATGACTTAGTCCGAACGATTGGAGGAGACCTGGTGGAAAAGGTTGATCTCATAGACAAGTTTGAACATCCAAAGTAAGTGAAAAGCTTCCTGATTTTACCCTTTACTGTCTCTATGTGATAAATGTCATATGGAAGCGTATCATAAAATTTTGCTGAAACCCAATGTATCTGAGACAAAATGTCTTCTGAATTTGTAGTGAATGTATAACTTATCAAAAAACTCTTTGATATCGGTCCTCTCTGAAAATCTTTCCAAGATGCATTTTCCATCTTTCCTACCTTAGTAAAATATATGAAACAGAATGTTTTAAGTCCTGCACCTTTTCAGTATTGTTTTTGGAAGTGACTTCTTACCTTAGCGTGTTCCAGGTACAGAAGAAATGAGTCAGAAAGAATAGTTTGTGTAGTAGAAGCTGTTTTGATAGGGTCTTAGCAAATCTTTATAGGTAAGCACTTACCACACACCAAGATCTGTATTACGTCCTAGGAATTAAATGTGTTCCAGATAGTCTTACATTTGCCTTCTTGGAGCTTACAGTCTTCTGAGAGTGGCAGACATTAAATACATCATTATGAAAGTATGCTATTATGAGGGGAAAATGCATTGGGTGTCATCAAAAACTAATTTCATGTGAGGAGTCAGGGCAGGCCTCTTTGAGATATGAAGCTGACAGTAGAAGGATGATGTGCAGTGAAGAAAGAAGAAGGAGCATTCCAGGTAGCACAAGAGAGTCCTGGGGGGAGGAGGTCACGTGAGATGCAGAAGGCAGCCAACAGCAGCTCAAGGAACTAGGGGGAGGCTGTGTAAAGTGATAATTGTTGGGTAGTGATGTGTTTCCAGGGCCAGATGGGGCCAAAACCTGCAAGGTCTGAGACTTTGAATTTTACCCTAATTGTAGTGAAAAATCATAGAGGATAGGAGCAGAGAGATTAAGTGGTGTGATTTGATTTGCATTTCTGATTGGTCACCTTTAAATGGTCCCCTTTGGCTCCTAGCTGTTAGAGAACAAACAGTCACCAAATCGTGTCTAACTCACACCTCCATTTTCCCTTCCCCTCCTAATTGTTTCAGGTATGTCATACCTACATTGTCAGGGCTCGTGGCTCCCACGTTCCATCCTGTCATTCAGACTCCCACCTGTTTCCTTCTTTGTCTTTTAAAGCATTCATTCTCTAGATAAAGGTGTTCAGTGTTCACTGCCATTTCTTTTGCTTCACTTTCCCCAGTCATCTGGATAACTAAAGTTCATCATCTAGAATTTTGCTAACAACTTGTGGAAGCAATAGACCCTGAGTTCTTGCATGTTCAAAACTGTTTATACCTGAATGACAGTTTGGTTGGGAGTAAAATCTTGGCTTGTTCTTTCTTTTAGGGAGGCTCTTGTAAGTGCGGCTCAATTGCTTTCTCAAGTTTAATTTCCCATAGAGAAATCTGATACCATACGTGATCTTTTTGCTAAAAGGCAAAAAAGGAATCCTTTAAAGGATTCCTTCATTATCTTTCAAGTTTAATACCTTTATCAGGCTCCACCGCAGTATTGATCTTTTCTCCCTAGTATATATCATTGTGCCTCACAGATTGGACTGGACTCTTACTTACTTTAGTAAAGTTTTCTTGAATTTTATCTTTAGGGATTTTTTCTGATCCATTGTTCTGTTCTATTTCATTCTTCAGGGATCCAGTTAAGCATAAGTCGGCTGTCCTTTATCTGAATTCTGTACCTATTATTTTCTTTCTAATGTTTTAAAATTCTTTCTTCCACTCCATTTGGTACGCTTTCCCATTGTTATCTTCTCCGTCCGTTACTGTGTTTTCTGCTGTCTTTTCTCACTTGTGCACCTTCCATCTGCAGTTACTTTGCTTTTCTCCCTGTTCTAAGTTTTGCAAGCTCACATTTCAGCTCCTCCTGTTTTCTCACCATCTCTTCTCTGAGTAATTTCTACTTTCTGGTCTTCCTTCCTAGAGAAATTTCTTCACTACATTTTAGAAATTCATTGTAAAATACTGAGCCAGAAATTTCATATGCTCCAATGGCAACATTTTTCTATGACTTTTCTGTTTCTCTGCCATTTTCCTCTTTTTTTCCCTCAATTCTTTTTTAATTGATCTGTCAATGGTATGCATATGATTGCCTTTTTGCCACTCATATTTTAATACACTGGGTTTTCTAGACCAGCTATTTGCACAAGATTGGGGGGAGGCTGGGTCTTGGCATAGCAGGAAGGGGCTGGGGTAGACATTTAGCCTAGCTTGTTTTCACACTCTTAAGGCTTTTTCTCCACTGCCAACTCTTTCTTTGAACATGACTCATCTCTGATTTTTTGTATAGGTCTTCCTCCCACCCTAAATCTACACTTATTAAAAATAGAAGAATTACCTTTGCTTACCCCATTATCAATACTTGGAAATAGAGACTTTACACTTCAGATTGTAACCCTTAGCTCTTAAAAAAAAAATGTTTTTGCTGGAGTTTTCTGAGATGTGCCATTCTGTGTGTTTCTTCTCTTCACTTCCTCTCATTTGGCTTCTTTTGATTTCAGCTGCTGTTGGCAGCCTTTAAATATATTTTGGAGCCTGCAGATGATAGCTGTCTTCTAACTTTACAGAAAATAAAATGTATGGGGTAGTCTGAATCCCTGATGCTACAGGGTGCCAATTCAGCCCTGGACTTTTATGTGAGAAAGAAATTTCCAGGAGTTTCCATGTTGATACTGGAAGTCTAGTTATTTACATCTGAAGAGAAGAAAAAATATTGGAACAAGACTGATTGCTAATTACCAATTGATATGCCAAAAGCCTATGACTTGTAATTTTTTCCCATTCTTTTTTAGTACAAGTTGAGTCAGGTATCCCTTATCCAAAAAATACTTGGGGCCAGAGTGTTTCAGAGTTTGGATCTTCTCAGATGTTAGAATATTTGCATATATGTAATGAGATATCTTGGGGGATGGGACCCAAGTCTAAACACAAAATTTGTTTCATATATACCTATACATGTATCCTGAAGGTAATTTTATGTAATTTCGTACAATATTTTTAATCATTTTGTGCATGAAATAAAGTTTGTGTGTATTGAATAATCAGAAAGCTTCAGATTTTGGAGGAGTTTGGATTTTGGATCTTCAGGTTAGAGGTGCTCAAGCTACGGAAAACTCTGGAATCAGGGATTTGGAATTCATTCTTAATTTTTGACCTCATAGCCTCTTGCTTTCTGATATGGTCGTAGCTTCATCCTTGCCAGTGTCAAAAGTGAGATGAGTAACCCTTTCTCATTGGAGATTTTCAGAACGTACAAGGTTACAGAGAGATACCAAAAACCTAGGAGGCTGAGATAAATTTCTGTTGTGCTGGATGGGGGGGTAGATGTCACTTGAGGAGGGGGTAAACATTGACTCTTTCTGATAATTTGGTAGTGATCAAGGGGATGCTGAATGGGCATGCTAACTAGAGAGATTGCAGTGGGCGGGGCGTTAGCATCAGGGTCCTATGGACCCAGGGACAGATCAGGCAGGCAGGCAGTCCATTGAAAAAAGATCACTGGACTGTATTAGAAATACTCTATTAATGCAGATATACACGCACAACCCCATACGGACTGCTAAAAAGTGAACATATCCAGTTCCTTCTGAGGAGACAGTACTTTTGACTAGAAGTTTAAAAACATTTCTCACTGGCACTAATATGACAATGTCTTAAATAGATGTTGTACAGATATTTAAAGACCATTTTTTGGAGCTATGCCAAAGGGCATGGCTGCCATTATTATGTGCCCCTCTTAATAAGGGGCTTGGTGATTAGAGTAGGGTTCCTGTGGCAGAGATTGCTCGTTATCCCTCAATATTCAATTCCCCCCGTCCTTCCGCCTGCTGCCATCTTTGTAATAACATAACCTTGACTTCTTAGCTCAGCAACTTTCCACCCAACCAGAAGCCTATACTTCTAAGTTTGGTCAATGATTTTTAAGTAGAAGTGTTTCTTGGTATTTCCGGAAGTTTCCTTAAAAGTTGAATTGAAGATATTCTTTTTTCTTCCTGATACTTAGTTGTTTCGGATGGCTAGTATTCTGGCAGCCATTTTGGGCCATGGTGTGGCCTGGGTGATGGAGACTGTCTGCAGTGGAGCAACAACATAAAGGAAATAGCCCAGGGCTTGACTCTGTGTCACTTCAGCCCTGGACTCTTAGATGAGAGAGAAATACCTTGTTTAGGCCACTTATTTTTTAGATCTCATTATTGACAGCCAAAGCAAAACCTAGCTATGCTAGCACTGGGAAAAATACCTGAGGAAAAGGATACATCATTTAGTAATGATGGCTTACTGTGCCATGATCCTCAGTTACTATCTAGGGCAGAGGTTGACCAGATTGTGAATATTTTCGACTTTATGGATCATAAGATCTCTCTCATAACTACTGAAATCTGCAATTGCAAAAGCAGTCACAGATTAAAATATAAACAAATAAGTCTAGTTGTGTTCCAGTGAAGCTTTGACTACAATATCAGACAGTGGAAATGTGAGTTTGGCCCATGGGCTATAGGTTGCTAACCCTTGATTTAAGGAAGGGAGATACATGGAGTTTTTTTTTTTTTGTTTTGTTTTTTTAAGACTCTGACTCCTAAATTCTAAAACCCTCTACTAGGAGATCATCCTTTTTTGAACACCCTGTGCCCACCCTCCCCATTTCCCCACCAAGTCCCTGACTACTTAGGTGATAAGAAGTAAATGGTCTCCTGACCTTGAACCTTGACCCCAAGATTTATTTTATTCCCTAAACACATAAATGAAATATAGCCAGATAGTGCAGAAGAGCTCTGACCCTTTCTTTGCCAGCCGTCAAAGCATGCCTAAGTGTGAGACAACGACTGAGTGAAAGACAAGGTAGTTGAACATGTTTCACGTTATTTTCTGAATTAAAAACAGATCCCAGGATGTTTCAGGAGACATAAGCTGCTGAAGAAGAGCCTGATTTCATAATATTAGACAATGGAGAAATTTTTTCTGGTTATAAATAGCAGCTTGTGCCCTGAAGGAGAATAGATGTTCAGGTTAGAAGAAAATGGTGCTTTGTCCT